ATAAACATGTTTTAAGTCTCCACCATAATAAATAGGCTTGTACAATATATAAAATTTCATAATACAAAGAATAACATGTTTTAAGATTCAGTACCATTTGTTATGGTGGGTTCACGACAAGATGAAAACAATGATGGAGTACTCTCGAATTGAAATGTTGAACGAAGTTCAAGTATTGACCTCACATTAATCTTTTTGTTGGACCCAAAGTATAAGCAAATGAAAAAATGGGAATGTAATATTGAAACATGCATAACATAAAACAAAATGATTTGTAACTGAACAAATAAAAAAACTCCCATAATGTTACCTAAAAGATGTACTATTGATTTGCTTATGCATAGGTTCAACAAGTATGATGTATATATGTTATACTTTAGAATGTTATATATGTTATATAACATACATATAACATATTTTTGTTAAGTATATTATGTTTATGTGGTTTTAAGAAATTTTGTTATGAAAGAAAAGATTTATGAACCTATAATATAGGCAATTTAATAATTTACTAATTTCCATTAAGCTTCTGAAACATAATTATTTTATATCTTACAAAATTTACTTTTAAATTTTAGTAATAAATTAAAATTTGAAAATAAATACTATATGCTCTCTTAGATTAATATATAATGAATTTCAGATTGAATAGAAGTATAATCTACAAAATAATATTAATTATCTTGTAAAATAATGAAGTCAGATCCTTACACTATAATTTCATATATTTGGATAATATTCATGAATATTATTAAAGTTAGAAGGTAGGTATTGTTGCCTAAGGGTTAGTCTAACTTGCAGTTTTGTGATTTACTTTATCTAACCTACCAGTCTTTCTCCAACACATGGCGATGCGCTGGAAATGAACGGGGGTGTAGGTTCGATACCTTGTTCCAACCCGTTTCTCAATTTTCATTCCTCCCCAATCTTCCCTTCTTTCCCTGCTGCATGTTGTAATTCATATCCGCTCATGAACAAAGATCTCAACCTAGAAAGTACCAAGCTCCGACTAGACCTTTCAACTCCATGGGCATAACCGAATCACCCTCAGCCACCTCCAAACAAAAAAAAAAAACATCCAAGTGAAAAGGAAGGGTGGAAAAGAAAATAAAAGAAAAACGCTAAAGTAACAAACTTCTGTCTTTCCTAATAATCTAGAAAGTCCATGACAACGACGCCAAAAACTTGACTCGCTACGACACAAATCCTAACAAAGGCTAAGTGTAACCAATTAAAGGGACTGCAGTATAGTGGCTCAAGTAATAAATATCGAATCCACAGGTCTCTAAAATTACTATTACTCAGCTTCAGTTCATTATCTAGCAAACTAGAGTAAAATGGAAGAACTAAAACTACTCTAACAAACTACAGTTAAAGTTAATCTAATTACAGGTTGGGAACTCACTTAGGTATGATTCCCCCTAGCCACTAGCCAGATTAATGATTGATGATCTCTAACCTGTTTCACTTTCATTCACAATGCGGAGAATTCTTAACTAGACCTTGAGTCTCGACTAAATGAACAAGACCCTCTTGAGTTAATTGCCTAGAGGGACGTATCCTTCTCTAGAACAACCGATCAAGGCATTCTGAACTAGATTCCCTCTATCGAATGAGGTTCTCAATCTATACAAAGCATTGAATCAACCCTCGACTAAAGAAATCGATCCAATACTATCAATCTATGGTGCTCTATTGACCTAATAAGGTATTCACTCTCATAGGATCGAAGCAGAATCAATAATCTCGACTAAAGTATAATTGAATGATGAAAACATGCATAGATTGAATATGAACTCAAGATTATCACGTAGGAGTACTCATACACAATCATCCAATCAAACAAACATAACTAGGGTTTCTCAAAATCTAAGTGAAGGGAAGTTACTCCATAGAGAAGAGAGAGACTGTAGTAAGAATCTTCAGATGATCAGTCTTCAAGTCTGGGCTTGTTCCTCAAGCTTCCAAGGCGAAGAAATCCTCCAATTCCACTCCAAGATTGCCCACAAATCGCTCTCTCTCTCTTTGGTTCGTCCCTTGGGTGTTTGGGAACCATAATCCAGCTCTCCCCCTAAAAAAACGCACAAAAGAGGCTTTTAACAGCCTGCGTTCGCGAAACCCAGTCCAAATACCCGGTCGGGTATCAACAAAATGCACCGGGTCACTTTTCTGGGTAAAAGGGAAAATACCCGGTCAGGTATTTTTGGTTCACAACCGGGGGGCTTTCTGATTCTACCAAGAATACCCTATCGGGTATTTTGGCCGGGTATTTCACAGTTTTGGGTCCCCTGTCTTTGATTCTTCGTTTCTCTCTCGTTCGGACTCCAAATCAGGTGTCGTTTGATCCCACACGCTTTTAGTCTCATCCTTTTTCTTCTCATGACAAGCTTACATGATTCTATGGTCACAAAATGAGGTATAAATCCATTCTTCTTCAAGTCAAGCTTGAGTTTCTTCCCTCGAGTCGCCAATTGATCTCCGATTGACTTGAAACTTGCGTCTATGCTTCACTTTATGTGCTAGGACCTGAAAATATGACAAAGGAATACAACCTAGTGTAAAATAGGCCAAAGAAGCGATAATTCGAGCTTAAACGAACAAGAAACAAAGGCGAAAACATGTGCAAATATCGAGTCATCAACGATTCAACTCACCTAGTGTTTGATAAAAAGAAATATAACATCAACTTATTATAATGACTAAATTGTGGCTTGATCGAACCATTTTATCGTTACTATCATTTCTTCAATGAAGTCATGAAAAAATTATTATAATTTGGCAACTTAATAAAAATTGGGAGAGCCAAAATCGAGGATGCAATTGAAATTTAAAGATAAGAAAATTAATTTTCATTCAAACAACGAAGAAAGAGCTCATATCGACCTATTAGATGCATTGATTCAAATACTGACATAGTGTAATTTAATGATAAAGTTATGAGAAGATAAAACATAAAATTTGCAAGGCAACTTGCAGGGATCTCAACACTCAACAGTCCGGCCTTCAATATTATATTTAGATTTATATCAAGATTTTTACCTACACATACACCATAACACTCAAATTTCATTATGTCGGTTGAGTTAGACCATGAACATTAAGAATAGAGGTTTAACAAACATTAGCATAATCTTTGGATTTCTTTCTCAATCCTTTATATCTATATCGCAATCAAAGTTTCTCAAAGTTCAAGCCTTAACTTTTATGAATAATTTTGACTTGTTTTATTCCAACACTCTTCAAAACCTATTACATTATATTTAGTTTTGCACTCGGCCCATAAGCCATGATTTTTATCCAATTTACTAATCTCACTTAAGTACGTTTGATCTTGTAAATTTTCACGTTGATTTCAACTCACCCTGTTACAAGTTTTGTGCCCTTAAACACGGTAAATAAAATTCACCAACCAAAAGACAAAAGATATTCACCCTTGTTACGAGGTTTGCGCCCTTGATATTTATTATTTCTCAAAACAAAAAAGAAAAATTCAAAAATGAGTTGTAATTGAATTTATATGTAATTAAAATTAGCATAACGGAAATATGAAAAAAGAGAGTACGACAGACTAATAAGTATCATATTTTCATTGGTGAAAGGATTTATTTATCAAAATTTTATTATATCACCTAATATCAACCATCACCTAATATCAAAATTTTATTCATCAATAATTCACCCTCCAACTGGGGATTATTGCGTTGAAAAAAAAAAATGAGAGGAGCTCCTCTCTCTTGGAAACCTGTTGCATCGTCGGACGGCTTCTCTTCGCTGCCTTCACGGCGGTGCTAGACGTGTGCATTACTAATCAGAGCATCAACAGAGGCTCTTCGATTTCGCAAAGCGTACCACACGTGGTTGATGCTAAACAATCAGGATGGGCTCCTCTTCTCGCCGAGGGCCCTAATCAATCAGCTACTCGAATAGCTAGGAAGTGCAAAAAAAGACGACGAGTTCCCGTTGATTGTGACTCAGCCGTCCCTTCCGTTAAGCGACTCCGTCGCCCAAAAGTAGTTATGTGGAAATTTCATCTGCCTTCGGTAGATGAACTGGAAAATGGTGAGAGAGACGTCTCCCAAACAGTGCCATGCAATCCCTGTAAATGGGAAGTGAAAGTTCCTGACATGCCCGATCCGATTGAGCTTAGACCCCGTGATGGGGCGAGTGAAATCATTAAAAAGGATGGGGTTGCCATGCCTAGCGAGGCTTCCCTACACGCACCGGAGATTTCCCCCCGGCCGTCGCTAGTGGTGAACTGGAATCGCCTGCAACCAGTGCGCAAAATAGATAGGGAGGAAAGAACAGAACCCTACCCCCGATCTTTGATCTGTCAAAAAAACACAAACGATGCTAACGTGTTGTGCACACCCACATCGATAAAGCTAAGACCCCGAGGTGGGGCGAGCCGTACCAGTAAGAGATGTAGCGCCGAGATGTCTGGCATTTTTAATCGTTTCTGGCCGACGGTGGAGTTCCGGTCACCACCGAGGTCGCTAAGTCCATCTGATTGCGTGGACGGCAGCCAACGACAAAGTCGTTACGAGGGGCGGCTCTCGATTTTGCGAATCGGATTTGGGATCTCCTGGTACCGGTCTCGTAACCAACTAAAGATTACTAACGATTCGGACGTGCAGTTGGGGAAGCAAAATCCACGGCTAAGAGTCCCAAACAGACTAGGTCTCTTGACTGCTAAGGACTCCTTGCGCTGTGCCAGCCTTATAAAAAATAGCCCTAGCCGAGGCAAATCATCTATCATTTGCTCTCTTCATTCTCGGCTAGTGGCAGTAAGAAGGCGCGATATCCCTCGAGCTCACGATCCTGACGGTGGTATGTTGGAAATTAATTGTGCTCTTGTGACCATTTTACTTTGGGAAAACTCAATCCTAGTTCTCAAAGTTTCCTGTTCACTAGCCCGTTTCCCTTGGTCAGGGTTGTTTTCCCCCTGCTGCTTCTCTGCTTCGACTAATACACAAAATCCACTATCTTTGCAGCTCGACACCATGTCTCGGATCGCAAAGGATCAGATTGTGGAATTCTCAATGGAGGATGTTCAGTCGGAGAAAGTGCGACATGACTGCTCCCTGCTTGGTCGCCTTTTCACCGACCAAAACTTCTCTCCCCTTGAGGTGCGTGAACTGGTGAACAATCCTTGGCAGGGACGTGGACGGATTAGAGTGAGAGCAGCTGCACATGGACTCTTTGAGTTCGTTCTACCCACTAAGACGGCGAAGACTTGGGTTCTCAAGCAATCGCCGTGGATCCTTGGTGATAAAATTCTACATCTCCGTCCCTGGATCTCGGCTGCAAGTCGACGAACTTTTGACGAGCTTGCTCTCGTACCCTTCCGTGTGCAGCTGTGGGAGATCCAACCGGAGTGCTGCACCCATCAGTTTGGGCGCAAAGTCGCGGCTGCCATGCTCGGACGAGTGTTGGAGGTGGAACTATTCTCATGCTCCGAAGCTGATCAGCGCTTCATCAAGGTGAAAGTCTTGCTGGATTTCTCCAAACCCCTTAGGTCCCAGATTATGGCGACTAATGACGAGACCGGGGGCTTTTGGATTCGTCTAAAGTATGAATATTTACCGAGTTTCTGCTATCATTGTGGGAGGGTGGGTCATTCCCGCCAAATGTGCACGTTCCCCCCGCCCGCCGGCAAAGAAAGGTTTGGACCGCAAATGTCAACTAAAAAGATGGGCCACAAGCTCTTTGATGAAGAGGACCAGTTGCCTCAATACCCGAAGAGATCAGTCTGGGTTAATCAAGAGACTCGGCCAAATAAGGGGAGTACTCAACACCCTGCTCGTGACCGTGTAGATGAAGGGCGGAGGGAGAGTGAAGCGGAAAAGAAGCCACTGATTGGTGACAGCCCACTATGGATGGGCTCTTCCACAAATCCGTTTATGGAGACTAAGCCTCCTGTGCTGCGCCAGGGACGTAGCCCGCACCGATTCCCAGTTGCCAAAGGCCCGAAAATTCAGCTACGAAGTCAGGGTCGTAAACATCCGCTATCGGCGAATCATGTCTCTCGTCCGATTGGGACTCGCCCACCAGGGACAGAGAATAGAGGAAGACGCAAGAATAATTCTCTTAAACAAACAGTCCTGGCTGATAGTTGCGTTGACAAATCGAAGGAGGGTACAAGGGTTTCTCGGCCTGCCTCTCCGACCCCTGCTCCACCGACCCGTAGCCAAAGTCTGGAAGTGTCAAGACGTCGGCGTATTATCCTCGAGGATGAGTCCGAAGATGAGTTCGTGGTTCAGGAGGTCCCCTTGAAGAATAACTTGGCTCTGCCTAAATCGGGGTCTCGAGCTTCGAAAAAGAATGGGAGAAAATCAAAGGGGCAGGGTAGCTGGGTTTTGCGAGGGGACAAACTGGTGGATAGGGCGGCGGAGCAAGGTCCCTGCCCACCCCTGGCTACAGCTACAGCTCGGCCTCGGCGTGTCCGCAACCTATCGAAGGGTGTCACCCCTGAACCTAGGGTGCATGACGAGGTGGGTGCTACTTTGGAGGTGTCGATGGATACCTCTCCACAGAGGAAGACTGTTTCGGTGGGTCCTCTCCCTGATGTGTCCATGCCAGAGGATTCAGACGAGACCCTCTCTGAAGATGATCACCTATCTTTCGAGATCAAACGTCGTGGGCATGGCGGCCGTCTTCCTTCGGGAGATAACCAACCTGGCCGAGTGCAAGAGGTGGTCCAGGCCTTTGAGAGTGGGTTAATCGTGAATGAATCTCCCACTAAGAAATGGGTGCGCAGACCCCGATCAATGGAAGCGAACAAGCAACAAGACTTGGGTGTCAATGAGGATGGTCAGTTAGGCCTGAATGTGTATGGTTCCAACATGTGTAATGCTGCCATTGGGGGAGTTAAACGCTCCTTGGAATCTGTTGACGGTGCCAATACTGAGCCTCCCATTCCAAAGAAACAATTTGTGGAAGAAACGGATGAGCTAGAGAAGGTGGAGGAAGCCAGCCTCGAATGGCCCCAGCCGGATAAATGAGGCTTCTGGCCTGGAATGTGAGAGGAATTGGGCCATCCCTTACATTCCAAATAGCTGTAGGTCTAGTTCGTTCTAATAAACCGGATCTCGTGTTCTTCTCGGAGACGCGATGGAGCCGGCGTGTAGTTACCCGTCGTATGCGGGGGTTAGGTTTTGATTCTTCTTGTTGTTTCTTTGTTGATGCGATTGAGGCATCTGGAGGTTTAGTTGTTGCTTGGTCCCCCGAAGTTGATGCTTCGGTGTTTTTCCATTCAAATTTTTGTATTTGCACGCAAGTTAATGAAGTGGATTTCTCTTATGTGGTGGTTTTCGTGTACATTAGTTGTAATCTTGCTCTTCGTGGCACTCAATTGGCCCAGTTACAAGAGATTTGTGAGAACATTCACCTCCCGTACACTGTCATTGGAGATTTCAACACTACTCTTCTTGAGAGTGAGAAGGATGGTGGTCTTCCTTGGAATGCTGTCCAATCTATTAGTCTGCGCGACTTTGTCCATAACCTTGGTCTCCATGACCCGGGGTTTCAGGGTGATCAATTCACTTGGACAAATAGACGAATGGGGGTTGCCTGTATTCGGGAACGCTTGGATCGTGCTCTATGCTCCCATCCTTGGATTGATCGGTTCCCGGATACCTTGGTAAAGCACTTCACGGACCAGGGATCGGATCATCGTGCCCTCCTCCTTTCAGACAAGGCCTATACCAGAAATAGCCGGCCCCTTTTTCGATTTGATGCCCGTTGGGCTGATAATCCTGAAGTAAGGGCTATGGTTAATTATGTTTGGCAGGAGGAAGTCCAAGGGACTCCCATGTTTCGACTATGGGAGCGACTCAAACGACTTCGTCACCTCCTATATGATTGGAGTAGGGCAGGCACTACAAATTCCCTTCGGAATATCAAAACTCTCCAGGCGGAGATTGAGCGGGTTAAGTTGACTCATCCAATTGATTGGAATGAGGTTAAAACTCTTGAGATTGAGCTTAATCGACAATGGGAGGCAGAAGAAATATATTGGCAACAAAAGTCCAGGGTCCGGTGGTTGAAGAAGGGAGATCAAAATTCCTCCTATTTCCATACGGTTACGCGTGCTAGGAGAAAGCGGAATTTTGTTGCGGGTCTCCGTAGTGATACTGGTGACTGGGTAACTGAGGAGCCGGCCAAAGCAGCCATTGCCACAGATTTTTACAAATCCCTCTTCACTTCTGAACATCAATCCCCTAATATGGAGGAGCGGATAGCCAATCTCCCCATTTCACACAGTGTTACACCTGTAATGAACGCTGATTTGACGGCTGAGGTCTTACCCAGTGAAATCCGGAAAACTGTGTTTTCCATGGGGTCTAAACAAGCTCCGGGGTCTGATGGGTTTACCGGAAAATTTTTTAAGGCTTTTTGGGATGTTGTTGGGGATTCGGTGATTGCAGCAGTCGTTTCTTTCTTTGAGACAAGCCGAATGCTCAAAAGTTTCAATCACACTTGGCTGACCTTAATTCCCAAAGTGGATAATGTGGAGACTATGCGACAACTACGCCCAATTAGTCTATGCCAATTTGTTTACAAAATTATAACAAAGATCATGGCTAAAAGGCTTGCGACCATCCTTCCCCATATCATTTCTGAGGGACAAAATGGTTTTATCCGTGATCGTCAGATAATTGATAATATCCTCCTGGGACATGAGTTGATGCATTACTTAAAAATCAAAACTCGGGGCAAGAAAGGGTACATGGCTCTAAAGGTTGACATGGAAAAGGCCTATGATAGAGTCGAATGGTCCTTTCTCCTCGCAGTGATGAATAAGATGGGCTTTAACTCTGTTTGGCAAGGGTGGATTCTTGAGTGCCTCCGTTCATCCTCTTTCTCTGTGCTCATGAATGGAACCCCTTCTGGTTATTTTAAACCGTCTAGGGGGCTAAGGCAGGGGGATCCTCTGTCCCCCCTGTTGTTTGTTATATGCACGGAAGGATTTACGGCTCTTTTGAGAAAGGCAATTACGGAAGAGAAGCTTCAAGGAGTTAAAGTGGCTCCTCGTGCCCCCAGAATCTCTCACTTATTCTTCGCGGATGATTCTTATTTATTTCTAAGGGGCACCCTTCAGGAATGTGAGAATCTGATTGTGGTCTTAAATGAGTATGAGGAATTGAGCGGTCAACGAGTAAACCTGGCAAAATCAGCAGTCTGCTTTAGCAAAAACATTGCGCTGCCTGATCAGGATTTCATGGCTACAATTCTGGGGGTTGGTGCAGTGGGCGTCCATGATAAATACCTAGGACTTCCCACGCTCTTTGCTCGATCAAAAATGGCTACATTCCGATATTTGGAAGAGAAGTTATTAGAAAAGCTACAAGGTTGGAAGCAGAAGACGTTATCCTGGGCTGCCAAGGAGACCCTCATCAAGTCTATTGCTTTGGCTTTACCCTTGCATATCATGTCTTGCTTCAGATTGCCATTGTCGCTGTGTCGCCTCCTAGATAAGCATGTGGCTCGATTCTGGTGGGGGGCGGCTGACGGACATTCTAAGATTCGCTGGGTCTCCTGGCGTCATATGTGCAGAAGCAAGCATGATGGGGGAATGGGATTTCGTCGATTTGAGCAGTTTAATCAGGCTCTGTTAGCCAAAATCGGATGGCGTATCCTTACTGATCCCCAGTCCCTTCTGGCTCAAGTGTACAAAGGGAAATACTTCCCCACTGGGAACTTTCTCGGTGCTACTGCCCGATCACGGCCTTCCTGGGGGTGGCAGAGTATCCTCTTCGGGCGCCAGTTATTGGAAAAGGGATTGCGATGGCAAATCGGTAATGGCCAGTCGGTTTCTCTGTTAAATTCCAACTGGATCCCCCAGTTTCAGCTGGATCCCCTGCAATATAACCCCTGCATCTCACCTGAAGGGGGAGACCCGTTAGTAGCTGACGTTATTTGCCTGGGGGAAGGTCGGTGGTGTGACCACAAACTTGCTCAATGGTTTGATCCTCCTACTTGTCGAGCCATTAAAACTATTCCTCTCCCACGTCTGCATATGGAGGACAAGTTGATCTGGCATGAGACAGCGGATGGATTATTTTCGGTCAAATCGGCCTATCATCTGGCTATTACACTTGATAAAAGGCGGGGTGGTTGGAAACCTTCTATCAGTTGGATGGATAAAGCAAGTTGGATTCGTCTCTGGGAGGCTAATATTCCCCCGAAACTGAAGGTGTTTGTCTGGCAGATCCTCTCCCTGGCCCTACCAACTACTGAGGCCCTCATTGAACGTAAAGTTCCGGTTCACCCCCGTTGTCCGGTTTGCTGGGATAGTTCAGAATCTTTGGAGCATCTGTTCCTTTATTGCCCAGTGGCTCGGGCCCTCTGGGATTACGCAGGGTTGGATTATCTGGGTGAGGGATTGCCTCGTCAAAATTTTCCTTTGTTCCTTAAAAAGCTCTTGGGCTTGATCAATCAGCCATCTATGTTTATGGCGGTAGTTGCCATCCTCTGGCGGATCTGGCGGTCTCGTAACTGGGTGGTATTTGAAGGGAAACAATTTGGGGTCCATGTGTTGATGCGCCAGTTCATTCAGCAATATGAGGAATGGATACGGTTGCCTGCCCGTCCCATGTTGCAAGTCCCTTCCGTTAGTCCCAATTTAATGAATGTTGATGATGACCCGCGTATGATCTGTCGGTGGGACGGGGCCACTAGGAGGGGGTCTCATTCGGCTGGGGGAATGGTTCTTATATATCCTACAGGGGGGGGGGGTTAGTGTGGCTGCGGGTGTGCAGTTCCCAGCTATTGATGATCCAATGGTTGTGGAGCTGTTGGTGCTTAGGGAGGCGGTGCTTTGGTGTCGCGGGTTAGGCCTTACTGAGGTAAGGTTTGAAGGCGATGCCAAAGTCATTATTGATAAGCTCAATCGGGGGGCCCTTGGCGATAATAGGATGGGTGTTGTTCTTCAAGAAGTTTATAGTTGTCTCCAGGCCCAGGCAGGTTATAGTGTTCGGTTCGTAGGTCGGCGTAGTAATAGGGTAGCCCCATATGGTGGCTAGAAAAGCCCTTTCTTTGTACCCAACCAGTAGCCGTTCCTTTGATTTTCAGACCTGGCTGATTTCCAGGGTGTAATTGTCTATCTTTTGAATCAATATAAGATTATCTTTTGTCAAAAAAAAACCATTGGATTGATAACAAGTTACAAAAAATTGCAAAATAACTCATTCACCGAAGCACCATTTCTAAAGACGCTCTCGAATCCCAATTTTGAGATGAACCTTAAAGAGTTGGCCTAATGATAATGTGGGAATGAGAACATCTATCACACCTATGCATTCGAGTCTTGGAACCAACAATAAATGATTTTTTTTTTGTGAAATGCTGAAAAACAAATTCATCAACCTAAACTATGAGTTGCGTTGATTACGAATGCATTAAACTAAGGCTTATTATAAAAAGTGAAAAGCGGGTATAAAACTAGCGAATAAGATGAGGTGAATTCATTGAATAAGATGTGGTGGTCTTGAATTACCTCAATCTAATATACTGGTTCAAATATCATTGGAATGTTTTTTTTTTCTTTGAGGATAATTCCACATAGGGATGTCAATCAAACACATGGTCGCGGGTATCCGACCGCCCCCAACCAAGTAAACGCGGGGAATCCCCGCTTTGACCGGGTATGGGGCGGGTATGGGTAAAACCCGCAAAAAGTTTGATGGATATGGGGCGGGTATGGTTTTAGCCTCCCCCGCCCTATACCCATCCCCATACCCGCCCCACCAAGATAATTTCTTCATATATAAAAAAAATATGTGCATCAAATTATAATCTATCAATGATGATGAGGATAACTTGAGAAAATAAATAGTAGAAATGCAATTGATTGACCACCTTAATCAAAATCTAATTCATTTCTCTCAATTCTCATGTCACTCTTTCACTTTCCCCCTTGTCAACAAGATTATGTTAGTTAATTATTATTTAGTAGATGTATCAGAGTTAGAACATAATAATTTGAAAAATATTATACTCT